CATTGTTAAGACCCAGGCACTAAAACTTACCACAGTTTGAAATTAATCACATTATTACAGTACAGTGTAAAGTGTGTGTGTGTGTGAGTGAGTGTGTGTGTGTGTGAGTGTGTGTGTGTTCGTGATCTCCGGCTACAGTTTGACATGAAGATACACATGCTCCCGAGGATTGTGCCAAAGGTGAATCTCCTCATAAATAACACGTCATAATTGACACATCTAAAAGTGATAGTGTAATTAATATTGTGTAGATGATAATGTAATGGATGTCCTGCAGGTGACGGTGCAGTCACAGACAGGCTATGAGCAGATCCTCAAAAACAAACCTGAGCCCCGCCAGGTACCCGAGTTATTGCACAATGAATGTAAACTGCCACGAACGACGGTGGTAAATAAAAGGTGTGGAAGATGAAGACAGTCACCGGGCTGAGGATCGGGGTCTTACTACTCTTGGCCGGTACCTGGTTACAGTGCGTGGATCATTTTGTGAGATGTGGCAAGACTGTGAAATGTTTATCTAGTATCCTTAGTCTGGCTACTGTTACGAGGTTCCTTAAGGCCATTCCGGGAGTTTTAATACAGTGTAAACAAACACAGAGTCGCCACATGTCACCAGCCACTGTATTAGCTAAAAGTGCAGGCGATTATACACATTAAAATCTTTACATAACCTTACTTTATCAATATTATGGAAAAATGAAAAATATCTAAAAAGTAGATAATATATCATATAATTTTATCGTAGCATTGAAAAATTCTTAAACATCTGAGATTGGCTTTACATTGTGGGGAAGTTATCAAGGCAGGTTTGGTTCGTTAGTTAAATTAACAACCGAACTGGGTAAATGAATATGTGTAACTAGTCACATTAACTTACGATATATAGATGGTTGACAAAGTTATGAGACTAGAGTGTAAGTAGATGTGACCTGTGAGTCTTCTGTACACACATACGGTATACACACATTATAACGTCTCATACATACACATACAGTATACACACATTATAACGTCTCATACATACACCTCCTTCCATTACTTTAGGTCCGAACACACTCCAGGTTGTAGATTCCACGAAGCTCCTCGGCGTCACCATAGACAACAAACTAAATTGGAAACCACACGTCAGTGAAGTTGTCAAATCCTCCAGCTTCCGTCTCCACCTCCTCCGCCGACTCAAGTCCCTCGGAGTTCCTGCACCCGAGCTCCTCAGTGTTTACAGAACATTCATACTTCCCAAGCTCAACTATGCCTCCCCCACCTGGTCTTCCTCCCTAAATGCCACACAAAGTAAACACCTAGAAAAAGTGCAAAAGAGGGCATGCAAGATTATTCTCTCCCCTTCCTGCTCCACATATCAAGAAGCGCTCAACACACTGACCCTTTCGACTCTCACTGACCATCACCACGACCTCATCTGCAAATTTGGTAAGAAGCTTCTACGCCATCCTCGACACCGGCTCCTACTACCACCTGAGATCCCTAGCCCGAGAATTGCTGTTCGACACCACAACCGCATCCAGCCCATACGTGCACGAACTGATCGCTATAAGAACAGCGCAGTCCCAACCCTTGTAAAAATTATCAATAACTAGTAATAGACCAGTGTATTCACTCCCAGTAAACACTACTCCTTGCACTGTCATTATGTTGAAATGCCCTGTAGTTTGAGCTTTTCCCCATCTAGTTATTATATATCTTATTTGTATCACTTATGTTACTTGTATATTATTTATAATTCGAAACCCATTCCCCAAATATGTAACTGTATATTTTCAGCCTTCTGGCTGCCAAGCTCTTTCAATAAACCGTTAATTATTATTATTATTATTGTTATTATTATTATTACATTATAGCGTCTCATACAAAAAAAATGGTTGCCACTCGTGTAACGAGGATGGCCGGGCCAAGGGCCACCTAGGCCTGAATTTGTTTAAGGTGTAGAAGTTGTCGCCAACACAACAACCACACCCTGAGTTAACGAGCTGCATGACCCAGTGTCACGGAATAGTCCGAGAAGACCGGACAACTCTTCAACTGCATTGGCTAACCATTACCCCGGACACGATCCGCAAATCGATTAACACCCAGGTTCCCAATTACTGCAGGGTAGACAGAGGCAAATGGCGTAAAGAAACTTGCCCATAGTTTCACCCTGCCCGGGGATCAAACCCGGGTCCACTCGCTTGCGAGGCGAGAGCCTGCTGACCATTACACCACCGGTCGCCATAACGTCTCATACATACACACATGTATACCTACACTATTAAAATCTACACCCATATATTCATTATATCGTTTTCGAGACACAAACACACATAAAAAAGTCTACTACACACATAGACACACTACTAACATCTCCTTTACAGAAAAATAACCCCCCAAAACAATACGTCACTTACCTTGACTGTGTTAGACCCGTAAATGAAGACAACACCTCCGGGAGAGTTTGGGGGACACTGAATGGTACTGTGGGAAAACACATCCCCTTATAAATCCTAGAGGCTACTCCTCTCCTGGCTCGTGATTGGTGGACACTTATGATGAGATAGCCAATGGTAGAGGAGTTAAAATAGCATTGGGAAAGGGGAAGTCCCGTCTTATCATATGAGGACGAATATTAAGTTTTCGATGATGCTATAAAGATATTCTGGTATGTGAGAATCTTTATAATTTATTTTAGGTTCAGTCGCTTGTGTTAAATAATAGTAGTAATAATAATAACAGTAATAATAACAATAACAATGACAATAACAATAATAATAATAATAAGAGTAATAATAATAAAAATAATAATAATAATAATAATAATAATAATAATAATAATAATTTAATAGAAAGAGAGACGCATTAAATACTTACATAATCACACACCTGATGCCTGGTTATACACAACAGTCCTCACACACAGGTAACACATATAACACACAGGTAACACACAGGTATCACATTATAATCACACAGGTAACACACAGGTATCACATTATAACACAGGTAACACACAGGTATCACATTATAATCACACAGGTAACACACAGGTTTCTCACAGGTAACACACATAACACACAAGTAACACACAGGTATCACATTATAACACACAGGTAACACACAGGTAACACACAGGTATCACATTATAACACAGAGGTAACACACATAACACACAGGTAACACACAGGTAACATATTATAACACACAGGTAACACACAGGTAACGCACATAACACACAGGTTACATACATAACACACAGATAACACGCATGTTACACATAAGTAACAAAATCTGTATTCAGGAAGCAGACAACATTACCATGGTAATTAACCTCACCTCAACAGGTAACAGAGCTCAACCAAAAGTAACTAATGTTAACCTTGGCTACTTACCTGAGCTAAAGTCGTCTATATATATTTCTGTCCATAGTATTTATAATGTCTTGTAATATTACTGCCTGTCTGTCTGTCCGTCTATCGTCCGCTAACCTAACCTAACCTAACCTAACCTTCATGTCGGTGGTTCATAGTTGTTATGACATATATGGGTCTAAAGACACACACACACACACACGGAAAAGTACAGATACTGTGTGTGATTTTGACGTAATAGTGGGTTTTATAGGCACGGTGTTCTGTGGAGAGCAGGTGTTGTCTACTGGAGCTGATGAGCAGGAGGTGTGTTGTCCTGGTCAGCAGGAGGTGTGTTGTCCTGGTTAGCAGGAGGTGTGTTGTCCTGGTCAGCAGGAGGTGTGTTGTCCTGGTTAGCAGGAGGTGTGTTGTCCTGGTCAGCAGTTTGTGGTTCCTGCTGGTCGTCGTATAAGTCAAGGCCACAGCCCCAGGCCTGCTGGAGGAGGCCGCTCAGCTGGTCGTCAGTGAGCGGGCACTTGGGGAAGTGGTGGTGGTGGCAGGCGGCGGCGTCCCGAGTCTTGCCACCCATGTCTGTGGCGTACACGAAGGCGGCGTTGTAGGAGGTGAGAGTCTCGGTGCTGTTGGCGAACATGTCTACCAGGATGGCCTCCTCCAGGGTGCGGGACATCTCCTTTTCGCCTCCAGTACACACAGCAGCTTCAGAACACAGCCATTGGGGTCCAGCTGGCCAACAGTGGACAGCAGCAAGTTCTTTCCCTAGTTAGCGGCGCTCTGGATGGCCCGACTGAAGGCGATGAGCGTAATGGATGAAGGAATGGTGGTGGCCGTGGTGTGAGTGAGGGCCGTGATAGCCGCCGATAACCAGGGCTATGAGGGCGACTCCCTTGAGGGCAGCCACAGCACCCAGGGTGAGAGCCCCGGGGAGGACCAATATGGTTCCCTTAGCACAGGTCCACGACACAGCCAACACCGCCACAACAACACTCCCGCCCACCACTTGACAACAACAAACTTTATCGATATAGTGTTACAACCCAACCAGTAAAAGTTATATTTCAATAATTTCTCTTGAAGCTTTTGCTAACCTTAGTACCTCTTCTTGTGTTTTCCTGACAGTAGTGTAGTTTATTCTTAACACTCACCTATAACATCACATCTCAAAAGATTACAACCTCTTTCTGGTGTCTGCTGAAGATGTTCACGCTCCTGACCCATACCACAGCCCTAACCACATAGTCTTTCAGCAGCTTTTTTATCAAGTTGAAGTTAATGTCCCTTTTTATTTGGCCATTTATATTATTAAATACTATTTTTCCTTGAACTATTCTTGTTTTGATTTCCTCCGTACATCTACCATCACAACTCTATGTTACTTCTCAAATACACAAAATTATCCACTTGTTTATGTTCCCTGTTGCCTCCCGTAATTTATTTTAGGATTTATTTTCAGTTTGGAGAAAACACTGGAGGGAGTAACACTGAAAACGGCCCGGGATCCCCTGTGCTAGATCCTTCGTGGGTTACACCTCTACATTTAGGGGTTTCCAGACCTATAGTTCCACGGTCTTTTTTTTGGTCACAATGACATACCCTGTGATTTATGAACCACGTTATGAGTCACCCTGTATATCTGACCGACAACTACTGGATCTTTTGCCACCTAAATGGGCTAACACAGGTACAGGACACAGCAGACATCCCTTGAGCTTAACCATATGAGGGGCACACTGTCGAACTTCCTGGTGTCATTCACTTATATAATCCTGGCGGCCATTGTTGTCCTGTTTGCCTGTGATTGGTGGAAACTGGATTGTGTTAGCCAATGATAATGAAAAAAAAAATATGTGGGTAAATACATTAAAGTATTGAGAGGGCGGTAATAGTTTTGTCCACGACGACAATAATAATAATAATAATAATAATAATAATAATAATAATAATAATAATAATAATAATAATAATAATAATAATAATAATAATAATAATAATAATAATAATAATAATAATAATAATTATAATAATAATAATACCACTATCATTACCACGACTACTATTACTACTACTACTACTTATTAATTTTAAACGTGGCTTCCATCCTCCCCCAATAGCCACACCTTCGCCGCAAGAGGTTGTGAACACCAGAGGAGTGAAGCTGCCTTGATCAACGTTCTGGATTCTCTCCCCGTATGCCCTTAACTTGTCGTTCTCGTGCCTCCTATGTGCAGCATCGAGAGCTAAGTTACGGTGACATGCGGCCATGGGATAAAAAATCCTGATGTCGAAGAAGACTCGCTGTCCCAGCGTCCAGAATCCTCGAGCACTGACGTCAACACGGGCTTCGTTAGATGTGTTTGAAGTCCTATGTTGGAAATTATCACTACTACTACTACTACTACTACTAGTAGTAGTAATAATAATAATAATATTATCACAACTTCTGCTATAACTGGATTACTGGATACAATATTCACCAACAGTTCTACGAGACGTTGGTTCGAGATAGGGGCTTCACAGTTTACCCAGCCTGTTGAAAGCATTACCTCTAAACGGTTGTGGGATGGGGTGAGGGGGGTAATTGAGGGGTGAGGGGTGGAGGGTGAGGTGAAGGGGTGGAGTGGCTGAGGTGAGGGGTGGAGTGGGTAGGGTGAGGGGGTAGAGTGGGTGAGGGTAAGGGTGTGAGTGGGTGAGAGGTGAGGGGTGGGAGTGGTGAGGGGGGGGGGTGGGAGGGTGAGGGGTGAGGGGGTGGAGTGGGTGAGGGTGGGGTGGAGGGTGAGGGGTGGAGTGGATGAGGGGTAAGGGGGTAGAGTGGGTAAGGGGTGAGGGGTGGAGTGGGTGAGGGGTGGAGTAGATGAGGGTGAGGGGGTGGTGGGTAAGGGGTGAGGGTGGAGTGGGTGAGGGGTGGGGTGGAGGGGTGAGGGGTGAGGGGGTGGGGGTGGGTGTGAGGGGTGGGGGTGAGGGGTGGGGGGTGGGGGGGTGGGTGGGGGTGAGGGGTGGGGGGGTGGGTGGGGAGGGGTGGAGGGGGTGGGTGGGTGAGGGGTGAGGGGTAGAGGGGTGGGTGGAGGGGTGAGGGGTGAGGGGGTGGGTGGGTGAGGGTGAGGGGGTAGGGTGGGTGGGGTGAGGGGGGTAGGGTGGGTAAGGGGTGAGGGGGGTAGGGTGGGTAAGGGAGTGGTGTTGGGGTGTAGTCACTGCTTTACTCGATCGTGAGGAAGGTCTCGCACACACACACACGGTCAAGTTACGGTAGGGTAGGTTAGGCTAGTTTAGGTTAGGATAGGGTAGGTTAGGTTAGGTTAGGTTAGGTTAGGTTAGGGGTGTTTAATCTTCATATAAACCAATAACACGCCCATAATATATTCACCAAACATAACATTCAGGGAATTTGCCATACATTTTTTGACCCAGTGATCGCTTTTAGCTTTAATCCAGCGACCTCATACAACAATGGCTATAATTACGAGAGGACAATGTGTGCTCCGTTCTCTACCACGCTCTCTGACTCACCAACACTCAAGGGTATGTAAGTAAATAATGACTGTCCGGAACTGGGGATGATATAACGTAACCACTCGAGTATTCCTGCAGTTTTTCCGCCATTTTTGGAAGTCTTCTGTCTGTCGATATGGTCATTAAGTTAGTGTGACGTATCCAAAGTCACTCAAAAAAGTATCTATACAAGATTGTGTTGAAAATATATGACAACTGATGAAGGATTTTGACAACCCTACCGAGACAACAGGAGTCAGTGTTCACTCTGGAATATATTTTATTTTAAATGCACCAGACAGACAGACAGACAGACAGAGACACAACGTACCCATAAGTCATAAACAATCTTATACTGTTGTAACATTAATATTTACTTATATAAACAAACAAACAAACAAACAGTAACACAATCTCGTAAACAAACCAACAAATTCAAACAAAATGATTTATATATCCCGTGACAAAAACACCTCAAATGGGGTTTAATAAATTACCAAAAAAAAAAAAAATCACGACAAACAAAAGAACAAATAATCTGTAAATATAATAAGACGCAATAACTTTTAAAGGATGGTCGCGACTCGCCAAACTAGACACGTTCGTCCTCTGAGCTCAGTGGATGAGAATGTTAATTACCGCGGGGGTTCCCATTACC